TTTTTTTTTTTTTTTTTTTTCATTTTATTCTTTTCGTTTCTCTCTCTTCTTCGTCGTTGAATTTTATGCATAACATGGAGCTATGAAGTCGAGTTTATGTGTGAGATCTCACGTCGGTTAGAGAGTGAAACGAAACATTAGAAGGGTGTGGAAACCTCTTTACAGTAGACTCATTTTAAAACAGTGAGACTGCAGGTTGAAGTGGACAATATTTACTCATGGTATCAAAGCCAGACACCGAGCAATGTGCAAGTGAGGACGCTGGCCCCTACAAGGGTGGATTGTGAGATCCCACATTGGTTAGAGTGAGGAACGAAGCATTCCTATACAAGGGTTTGGAAATCTCTCTTTAGTAGACGCATTTTAAAATCATGAGGCAGACAATGCTATCAATGAGCTTGAGCTGTTCCATTATGCGGAAGTGGATTACATGTTACATAAAGTTTAGTTTTTTGCTATAAGAACAGTGAGTCAAACGTGTTTCGTGAACGTAACGATTCACGTATATGGGCGATTTGGTGGGTATCACTTATCACTAGACATGGATGGAGTGCAATGTTCAAAAGGTATGTCTAATAGTAAAGCTTGGATCTTGAAGTTGACTACCAACACCTTGAAGGCAAAGAAGAAGAAGAAGAAAAGAAGAATCCCCACAGAACAAGAAACTTTATTAGTGACATGATGATTCTGCAAGCTACCCATTAATGGCATATCATAAAAGTCAACCCCCTTTTCCTTCATTACATTGCTTCATAAAACACCATTTCAGTAAAGTTTTAGCCTTTTCTTCTCATCATTTTGCCTCTTACCCATTTGCTTGCTCTGATTTGTAACCAAAAAGCCTAGAATTAAGGTCAAGAAAGAGCAAGCCAAAGCCCTGAAATGGGGCACAAAATTACAGTCATCAAAACAACCTTAAACTTTTCAAAACTATCAAAATCAGGAGGAAACATAATTGACAACATATTATTTAATCACATTCAAAGAAAACAACCATTATTCGACACTAAAAACAACCCTTAACCAAAACCCGAGAAGATTACAGGATGGATCGAAGAAGTTGTCGAACCTGGCTCGGCTAGGCTCGACACGTGGGTGTGGGCTACCATTGCTTGGATTTATTACTAGAAAAGAAAACAAGCACAACATAGAAAAAGACTCTCTAAGACCAGGACCAAAGGGCATTGTCTTCAATGGGGAATACAAAATTACAAGAACTTGTGGGCGGGTCAGAGTAATCGACGTCTTCGAGCTTTGGGAAGATGCAAGGAGGCAAAAGATTCTTTCCCAAGTTATCTTCTTCGTCTTGCGATAAGTCGGACTGATCGGGATCGAAAATGTAGGACGAATCTCCGGGGTCTAGGAGTGAAGAGTGAACCCCATCAGTGTAGTGTGGGCTATCTGAATCAAATATATCACTTTTGACTGAACTCATATCCTCCTGCTTACAACCCAGCTTTGAAGATTTGGAGGCTTCATCAACCAAATTTTGTGGTGGTTCTTCACCAAATTTGTCATCTTCAGACACCACAGAGTTGCTCCTTTCTTTGTCTTTGAGTATCAGTTTGTCTGTCAGGACAACAATCTGTAATATCCATGTATTGTTTCTTAGTAATAATGCAAACCCAACACAGCTTAATCACCAATAATGGAATATCCATGAATGTCAACAACAATTTTACCTCAGCCTTCAATGAATCCTTCTCCTTCAGTAGGTTTTCATAGTCAGCCTTAAGGTTTCCATAGCTGGATTGAAGAGCTTCATAGTCCTTCTCCAGCTGTTTAGTTTTCCACCGTGCTCGGCGATTTTGAAACCATATAGCAACCTGACGAGGCTGCAGCCCGAGGTCCTTGGCTAGCTGAACTTTCCTCTCCGGTTCGAGCTTGTTCTCGGTCTCGAAACTTTTCTCGAGGAACCGGACTTGATCAGCTGATAAACGCCTCTTTTTTTCAGGGTGATGGAAGTAATCATCCAAGTCTTCATCCCCATTATCTTCATTATCGAACGGGCAAAAGAACGATCTATTCGATCCGTTTCCTCCACGAATATCTTCGAAACTCATCATGGATCTTGAACCTATACCAGAACAATCTGTCATGAACATCAACTAGACAAGTTTTACTCCCCAAGTGATATATGTCAGATAATATCAATCAATCTGATACAATTCTTCTACACAAATTGAACTCTAGAACTGCACCAGATTCAGCTAACAACCAGAAGGAAATTACATCGGTTTTCTCAAAATCAGCGATTAATGATCCAATTTAAACAGCCAAAAGCATTGAGAATTCAGCACATAAACCCAAAGGGTGACCCAAATCATCAATTCCACAGAGAAACATCAAAGAAATCAAGCATACAGAGGCAAGAACTGAAAAGATCAAGAAAAAGGGTGTACCAAGCAGAGAGGGGGAAGTAGAAGAAGATGACCCAGAAAGGAAAAGAGCACTAAGCGGCTCAGAAGCAAAAGACCCTCCACGATTATGAAGCAAAACACTATGATTGGAAGAAACACCGCTTATACTACCACCGTCGCCGCCGCCGTATACCCTCCGACCCGCCATAGCCCTAAATACAAAGAAACTATTCCCTGTTTCAAACAGCCATCAACAAAACGGAGAAGATTAGCCAGTGGGTCTGTGTTGTTGGGGGGTAATCTAAGACTTATGGCGGAAGAAGCTGGTGATTATGATTTCGGTGATGTGTGAAGTATGGGAACAACGGCTGCTCACACCCATCCCTCAGAATAAGAAAGATTAATGGATGAGGCTGTTCTTCGATTCTTTGGATTTCTTTTCCAAATTGAAATCGAAGATCGAAAGGAAATGGTTTCTGGGTTTGAAGCCTCCGAGAAGAGAATCTCCTCCTTTCCTTCCCGTTTCCCTTCGGAGGGGGAAGAACTTGGTGGGCTTATAATGGCACCACCAGAATGCTTCTCATATTTCCGTAGTTACCACAATACCCTTCTTCTTGGTTTCGTGGGTTAATTATTAAAACCTTCCACGCCTAGATCCCACCTGGGTTGTGGAGGAGAAGGAAACATTGTATGGTGTGGAAACCTCATGAAAATCCAAAGATGTGCTATTAGAGTTAAACACATGGGCGATGTGTCAACGAAGAGGCTAAGCCCTAAAGGGGAGTGGACATGAGTCAGTGTGCTAGCAAGGACGTTGGTTGGGTCGAGAGAGAGGTAAATTGGGGGTCCCACATTGATTAGAGAAGGAAAAGAGCCATAGCAAGGACGCTGGGTTCTAAACAAATAATTGATTCATAATGAATATATTTATATCATGTTTATTGAAAATTAAGCGACTAATATTGTATTTAAGAACGAAAAAAAGCTAAATTAATGTTAAAGGAGGTAACATGAAGTAGAGTGAATAATGGCATGAGAGGAGCAAAATGTTTCCCAATTATATGTTTCTGCCAACCAAACATTCAAGCCAAATTAATAAAATTTATTAAATGTCAATAACATATAGTCTAAAAACTATAGCCCTCAATAAATTGTACGTAAAACTTAAATTTATTTCAATCATCGGTTGAATTTAAATTATTTGAACAAATTAAAAATTTTATATTATTATTATTATTTAAAAATATATATATTTAAAAGAGAATTAGTTTTAAAATGTATATTTATATCATCAAAAAGTGAAAAATTAATAATTAGAATGCATTATATATATATATATATATATCTACTCCATCAAACTAAAATGCAAGTACAAGCATTTGATGTGCATAAATATAAAATAATTGCATGTGACACGCCATGAATCAACTTTATATTTTATTATTTATTTACTTTTTCATTCAAAACATAATTCGAGTATGTATGAATACGTAACAGTTGAAGTCCACCGTTAGTAAATATTGTCTACTTTTGTAAGATACGTTTTGTTTCACTCTGATGTAGGATCTCACGTAATAATTCAAGTAATGAACGAGGACGGGATGGTGGAGGGGTAAAACGGGAAATGGGAGGGAATAAAGGTGAGAAGGAGAAGATGGAGATGACAACGAGGCAAAGGAGAGAAAGGTGGAGGAGACAGAAAACAAAGGAATCCTGTCCAATCAGTCGTTTTCCATGATTTGGCGGACTGAGTCATGGGCCCGAGTTGGTCATCTTCATCTCAACTTAAGGCTGAGTCACTCGTTCATCGCTTGTCCACCATTTTACGTGGTCCCACCATTGGGCCACGTCATGTGCTTCTGGCTCCACCTGTCCCTTCCTTCCACATTTTAAATTGGCATCATCTCTCCACATTGGCTTGGTGGGCCCCCTCTCACCATCCCATTCATCAAAATCCATGTATGTATGTGCCTCTATATAAATCTTATCTATAATTTTTTTTATTAAATTATTATTTTTATTAAAAAAAATTATCACGAATTTTAACTCTTAACCCATTAAATTTATATTTTTAACTTTATACTAAATTTATAATTTCATTCAAATTTTTAGAATTTCAAATTTGTTGAGAAGAATTATTGAGAGTGAGTCCACGTTGGTTAATTTAAGGGAAGATCATGAGTTTATAAGTGGGGAATACTATCTCCATTGGTATAAGGTCTAATTTTTGTTTTTGAATATTTACTTTAAACATATTTTTAAATTGTTTGTAAAATTAAAAAATATATATATTATAACTTTGAAAGATTAAAAATATTTTTGAAATAAAGAATATAGTTTAGGAATTTATTGTATAAATTAGGGAGGAAATGTATCCCGTTTTCAGTCTCGCGAAACGTTGGTTTTGGACCGTACGGCCCATTAAGGTCTCGTAATCGACAGCCCATGTCTTTCCTAATCGGCCCATACATTTTGGGCCTGTTCTTTCATCAGCCCATTACAAAATATCTCCAAATTATATTTAAATCCCTTAAAATTCATTTTTTAACGTGTTTTAACGTATAATCTCGATTTCAAATGATCTAAACTCAACTTAATCTTTGGGTTAAGATAATTAAGTAAATGTTGAAGGAGAGAGAGAGAGAGTTATGAAAATTTGAGATAAAGCAAAGGAGGATATGATTGGTGGATATTAGTGGACATCAGATTACACTGTCTCAGATCTCTCTCCTACATGGCGAAACCTCCCTCTTCCATCACTTCCTGCCTGAACAATAATCCTTCAGAAGCTTCCCTTCCCCTTCAACAATGGCGGTCACTGCACAATCACCATCTTCCTCTGCTGCTCCCTCTCTCCTTCCCAACCGCTTCTCCATTTCCAGATTCCGCCACGCCTCTAACCATGCCCGTCCTCGTCCTTCCTCCGGATCCAATTCGCTCAGGATCCTCGCCATGGCCCCTCAGAAGAAGGTACTGCGACTCTTTCCTCTGTTATAATACCCCTTGTCTTTTGATCGCGTTGTTTGGGGGCCAGGCTAGGGCGCTAATAAATGGAAATTGGTGGATTCAGGTGAACAAATACGACGACGGTTGGGAGAAGAAGTGGTTCGGAGCTGGAATCTTCTACGAGAGCTCGGAGGATGTGGAAGTGGACGTGTTCAAGAAGCTTGAGACGAAGAAAGTGCTTAGCAACGTCGAAAAAGCAGGGCTACTATCGAAGGCAGAGGAATTAGGGTTTACGCTCTCTTCGATTGAGAAATTGGGGGTTTTCTCAAAAGCCGAGGAGTTCGGGCTTCTCAGCTTGCTTGAGAAGGTTGCGAGCGCCTCCCCGTCCACATTGGCCTCTCTTGCCCTTCCCATTCTCGTTGCTGCGCTGGCGGCGATTGTTCTCATTCCCGATGACTCAGCGCCGCTTGTGGCGTTACAGGCTGTGGTCGCCGGCGGACTCACGCTTGGGGCTGCCGGATTGTTTGTTGGATCGGTGGTGCTGGGTGGCTTGCAGGAAGCTGATTGAATTAGGACTCTGCCGAATCTCCGTGTGTGTAGGTAAATTGAATACTACTTTTGAAACAGCTCTAATTTCTCTGTGTAATTAAGAACCATAAACATGGTGCATCTGAAGAGAGCTTTTTCATTCTCTTGGTTTCAAAATGTGGATTAGAATTAGGTGATTTTGGTATCATGATTTTATTTCTTCAAGAAGTATTACAGTAAGAGACATAAAATTTTCAAAACTTGAGCCTTCTAATCTTTTGATCCTGTTAGCTGCATCATCAAGAGATAGTAGTAGAATCCTACTCATTCCAGATTTCATGGAGCAGCATTCTGTTCAGCTTCATGGATCAGTTTCAATATCTCTTCCTTCTTAACCGCCAGAGCCTGCATCTTGTCTTCAAGCTTCTCAAGCTTCTGTCTGAGCTTTAATGGATCCTTCATATCCGCAGGGTCCTTTTTCTTCTTCTCTTTCTTTTCACCTCCTTCCTTATCCTTATCCTTATCCTTTCCCTTCTTTTTGCCATGATCATCTTCTTCTTCTTCATGTTTCTCCTTATCTTTCTTCTTCTCCTTCTTCTCAACCTTACCCTCGTGCTTCTCTTCCGAGGTTCCTCCCATTGTTGAATCTAAACCAGAATTGAAGGAAAACTGAATGAATATTGTTCTGCAATTATTGGGGGTGAGCCTAACCGCCATTAATATGGCAACCCAATGGGCAGAAATTGATGTGGGTTGCCGAGAATTCAGCCACAAGACATGGCAACTTCATTCTCTGGTGGCCCTGATTTGTTATGGACATTTTCCACTCTGCTAAGTATAAACAAGAATAATCAAAGAAGAAAGCTCTGTATATTATTATTCCAATTTTGCTGCCAACAGTAGAGGAAGATCTGATATGTTTGAAAATAATCCGTGATGTTCCAACTTTTCAGGACACAATTACAGCAAACTATTGGGACTCTGTTTTCTCTTATTACTGTGTTGGTCAATCGAATTCCATCTCCAAGAACCAAACAACATGATGACAGCTCCCTTTTCACACTTGACCGTGTTATTTTTTGGGACATCTTTTTCAACTCCACCAGTTTGAACTTTCCCTTCCCCACTGGCTATCAAGTAGCCACTCAACTACTACCCCATCAATTTGGGGTTGTAATTATGGAAAACCCCACAAAAAGGGGTTAAAAATAATAATAATGATAATGATAATACACTTTTAATACTTTCATGTACTACTTTAGTCTACATTAACCGATCTGATAGGCTAGGAAGTCGCCGGAAAAAGTTCAGACTTGCTGACGGCATAGGATCCCGGAACATGGGGTGGCGCAAGTAGTAGAATCCGAGTGCCACTGCCACCATTTTGGGCGGAACCGCGTAGAGGATCAATGTGATGGTGAAACATACTCCAATGAACAGCTTTGTGGCTCGAGGGTCCCTCCAACTAACCAACGCTTGTACTCTCTCCCCTTGGGTAGCAAGATCCCCCAATACTGTTTGGATTCTTGCAGCCAGTATCCTTAGCCGGTCGTACCTGACCCGGATTACGTCCGGTGGCTTTGAGCTTGGAATTGTGTCGAATTCTTCATCTAGTTCATCTGGATCTACTGCCTCGGCGTGCGATAATCGTGTGTCCATTCCGGCGGGGATTTTCGGTCTGAACCGATAGTACCAAACTCCGATTAAGAACACGTAAAGAAACCCAGTTGGGACTATCAAATCTGGGTACCAAACAAGAACCAGATATAAAATATGAACAAGAATTGTGGTTATGGGGTTCCTCCATCGCCGGATGTCATCCAACCATTTGGCCAATCCCACCGCCCATGCCAAAACTGCAACGATCCTAAACCAATTTGCCTTGCTTTTTCTCATGCTCCAAGCGTGTGAATCAGCATCCAACATGTATCGAACCACCTCCGACCCCAATGGTGGCTCCGACCTGCCTAACCAGGTTGCCACCATCTTTGTGGCGGCTCTGCGCAACGCCTCCTGTTGAGCCACCCCCAGAGGGCGGAGATAATGCATTCTTGGAAGTAAGGGCTGCCCATAAACTCCACATGTATCTGGCAACAGTGCCGGACAGGCGAACCGGACGGCTAGCTCGATTTCACCCATTTTCTTCAACCCTGTTCTCTGCAACACCAACAGAGGGTACGAGTTTGTATAGATTTTGTTGCTCTCGAGGGTTGACACCCGAATCCTTACTTTTCCGATGTGATAATCCGGCTTGTCCTCCGCCGCGTCGGAGTACATTCGCCAGTTATCGAAGACGCCGATGGTGAGAACAGTGCAAGGATCGTATACTTGCCACGTGTACTGTTCATTCCAACGTGGATCAAAGCTGTCAGTCATCGTTCTGGTTCGGACCCACTTTTTCCCGTACTTCGCGACACAGTAAGCGTCAGTGGACCCCTTCCCCGGATCTTTCGTCTTCATCGGAAGCAATCCTCGAGCTCCCAGAATCCCGAGCTCCAGAATTCCAACGGCTGGCTTCCACAGCTGCTTCGCTGTCGGACGGAAGTCACTACACACGTGCGCCGCCTCATCCAACACGTGATATCCGCCTTCCAAACAGAGGCGGAGATAGATTCTGCCGCTGTATGATTCGCCACCGTTGCCGCCTTCTAAAGAAAACCATTTCGCCGCCACATACCGCTCATCGAACCGCTGTTCGACAGTGTCCACCGGAATCATGACGTGGCCGAGGAGTACGACCTCCTTGCTCGTTCGGTCTTCAACGAGTATGATCAGGGAGTCTTCGAGAGGCTCGCCGGCAACGAAGACGAGGTCCTCGTTCCAGTGAAATGAGGCGCTATGGTTGTTCATGGACCCTCGCCTGGTCCGAGCCGACTGAAAACTCAGCTGTGCTTTGATCCGAATCTCGGGTGCCGTTAATGGAGGCAGATTTGAAGCGATGTGAAGGTCCTGCGCTTCTATTACTGTAATTCTCAAGTACCATAGCTTCGGAGATTGATAAACCTTCGAGCGCGTATGAGCCACGTGTGGCGCATCGGAGCACCAAGCTTCTGGAAATGCATCGTCGGCTTGAGTTCCAATCCAAACAGAGAGCTGAATGTCGCCGGTAATTTTGGTGGTTTGTTGATCTCCGGCACCGCCTTCAAGGCGGTACCACTGAGGAGCCAGAGGACTATCAGGCGGATCACGTACAGGAACATCGGAAAGATCAAAGCAAACGCCACCGAGGAACTGATCCGATGGAGAATCCCAGACGGCAATCTCCAGCGTCGTATTTGCCGTATCAGGCCGATTATGGCGGAGGGCAAAGACACATTTCCATTCCGGCGAATCAGTCGGTTCACCAGGCCGATGATTCGCCGGTTCCGATTTGACGTAATGGCTTGATGTGCGAATCTGTAAGTAGGGGCGCTCATTAGGAGCGATATTTCTGGCTTTCACGATACGGATGAAGAGGTACTGCATCGGCTCCACAAGATCGTACGGATGAATCCTCTCTGTCTCCGCCATGAATTTTTTATTGATTACTCTCGGAGAGTAATCCCCATTCGGCCTTCTCAAAACCCTAACCCCTTCCCCAAATCCTGCTGCCTTGTTATTCTGCATCTTTCTAATTTCTGGTGCAAATTGGCCCTCCGCAGGCGGAGGAGCATTTACCTCCATCGGTGGTGGCTCAGAATGTACCGGCATCTCCTGCGGCGGCGGCTCATCGATAACTACCACCGGCGGCGGATTCGAATCGTTATGACCGACCTCCCCCTGCGGCGGAAGCTCGAACATCCTTGCTTCCTCGACAACAGCCTCCGGAGTATTAGGCTTCTCGGTAACAGTCTGAATCGGTTGCTCCTCCTGCGGCGGAGGTTGCGGCGGAGCTTCTTCAACTAACTCGTCGTAGTAACAGATCCTAAGCCCAATCTCGCCTCTCACCCAGCTGAACACGCTCTTCTTCTCCAATTGATAGTAAACCAAACCTTCTTCTCCTCTCTTCGCAAACTGGCTTCCGTTCAGTTTCACCCTCCCTAAGAATTGATTCTTCCGGCCACTACCATTGCCGTACCTCTTATCGTTGAAAACCTCAATATCAAGCTCCTCATAATCCATATTATCAGGATCGGAGACAATAAATTCAAGCGGCTCATTCCATGTCGGATTGAGCTCACGAAACTTAGTAGCGGTCCGCTTCCTCTGCCCATCGAAATCGGCAACCACATAAGGACTCGAGCTTCCTTGGCCGTCTTTAGGAAGAAGGTTACGAGCATCAGCGATTTCGACAACGAGCTTCCTAACAGTTCTGGGTGGCGGTGGCGGTTGGGGCGATGACGGTGGCGGTGGCTGAGCCGGCGTCGTCATGGTCTCATTTTGGTATGAAGCAAAAAATAGATCAGAAAATGCGTTGATAGCGGAGAAGCAGAATAAATGCTGTAATGTATTGAATATTGATGCCATTTGCTTTCCCCTTTTTCCTTTATTCTATTTTTCTAAACCCTTTTTTTCCCTATACAATTTAATTTAATTTTTATAAACTTTTAACATTAAATTACAAATTTCATCTTTATCATTTTTTTTAAAAAAATAAATAGTTTCTAATTTAATGTCGAGACATGACGACCCTCTTAACCATACCATTTGTCTCTTAACCAATCAATTGAGTTATGCTTAAATTATATTTTATAATTAAAAATAATAACAAAGGAATAAGAATGTTAGGAGGTGGGGGTGTCAGTGGGGGAAGAGATTAGATTCCAATCTCTCTTGTGAAGGTTTTGAATGAATCCACTTTATGGTTTCCCTCTTCTTGCTTTTTTTTTTTTTTTATCCCTTTTTTCTCCTTATATATTCCAAAACAAATTAAATATTATTCCAAAAAAAAAATTAAGGAATAACATAGTTGTATGTTTAAATCCTTTATGACCCATCCATTTGGGCCTCTTTGTTTCGGTCGTTCATATCAAAATTAGTCGCATAATGGCTGTGTTAGATGGGCAATGTTAGAAGCCACGAGCGAGAAAATAATTAGGTCATGTTACCGAATGGAACAAAGTGTAAACTTGAAAGTAACCCAAAAAGTAGAGTTTCTCCACTTGAAAGAATCTCCTTGAACATATAGGTTTGATAGGTTTAATTTTTCTCTCTAATACATCTAAGAATGTAAAACGGTGAAGAACTAGTATGCAACCATTTAGATGCCTTGTTAGATTCCCCTCCCTTTAGCCCAAAAGTTAATTCCAAAGAGAAAAACAAGCCCAACCCTTTACCCAAATCACTTCCATTTCTCACTAATCACTGCCCTGTTCTGCCCTACCTGCTTCCTTCCACACAGTTCTTCAATGGAGATGCCAATATTCAGCCGAAACTTTAGTGTTTGCAGTGGACGAACAAGAGGGTCTCCATTATTGTACCAGTTTCTCAGTGCGATCCTTGGGCGACTGTGAACTAATGGACTTTTTTTCCCCCTTTGGCTCCGCATGTCGATGAAGCTTCTCAACCCCATGTCATATTCTGCACTTTCTGAATGGGTGGACTTTGTTGCCAGAATCTGATCCTTCCCATCTCATCAAAAGGTAAATTTATTTTCTCCTTGATGCTTCTTCTTCTGTCCTTCACCATAATTTTCTCTTCATGACATCATTTCAATGCATATTATATTATAATAGGTGTGGAAAAAAGATGGGTTTCTCTGCAATTTTCTCCACTCTCCCCCAAATAGTTCCTTAACTTTAGGGCTCTAATCCATATCCTCTTGTTTTCTTGTTTATTCCACTGAAAAAGAAATCTGGATTCCATGAGGTTTTGGCAATCTCTTTATGGGTTCTGCATCACTCTGAGGAGAGATTTCTGCTGTTGATTATGTTTAGTGTTTAGTGTTTTGAAACCCCATTAAGAGTTCTTCATTTGTGATTACATTTTGTTTGGATGATGCTGTGTTCTATTCCCATGTTCTGGGTTGGTTCATACTTTAGTACCCTTTATCACAATTCATATTAAGTTTCCTTTTAGGATAGAAACATTCCTCCTTTTGAAGGAAAAGGTAGATTTATGCCATTGTCTGAAAGATAATGCTGCAAATTAACATTGATTTTGTTTCCCAAGTGTTTGAAACAAGCTGAGAAGGGCTATCTCTGCTTTATTTTATTCCTTTGCTTTTCTATAAACAAGATTCTGTTCCATAGCAAAATTGTGCTTTTTCTTGGCTCCAAAAACAACAATGTAGAAGACAACATGTTTGTATTGTATAATCATGGCCTTTTTCTTGTGGGACAGATCTTTAGATGGTGCAAATAACACTAGAAGAAATTTGAAGTACAATGGTTCATGTTCGGCTACGAATCCGATCGAACCATGCTAAATTTAACACCATAATTTATGAACCTTTTATTTGTCTGCAACTAAAAAATGGTCATAGATTATGGTTGTTGGGCTAGCCTAAGCGAGCAGGTGAACAACATCGACATCGACTCTGATAACATATCAAGAAGATGGTGGAGTTGTCCAATTCAAGGGCAAGGGGCCAATATCATATATGATCTCTCTATGGCAAGACCATACGAGTTTGATGGCTTCTGGAGTTCCAATACCAGCACCTCTAGGGTCACCTGCTGGTCCAAACCTATACCAAACAACATTCTTAAGCCACCATAATCGACTTCATGTTGAGAAGGAGAAACGAGCTTATTAGACTTTACCAATGGTTCTGTGGAGCTCCTGTTGTTCTAGCTCGTAAACCCGCATACGTCGTCCCGTTTACAGTATTCCCAATAACTTCCTGCAATGTCCACAAGTTACTATAATCTATCAAGCATTGTTGGCTTAGGAAACACTTTCTTAATAGGAAGGCTTAGAACTGAATCATCGAACTCACCTGTAGAAAAAGAGGGTCATTTGAAACAACCGCTGCTGTTAGATGAGCATGCATCCGCTCAAGAGCATCCAACACAACTGACAGTTGATCGCTCTTATATTCAGTAATAATCTACAAACACCAGCAACAAACGGATATTAAGAAGTGCTTAACATAATTATGAACTGGGTAGACACCAGCTACAAAAATTTCCCTTTTTCCTTCATATTTACCTGGAATGGTCCAAAAATTTCCTTAGTAACAAGCTCATAATTCTCAGCTTTCATCATTTCTTCGAGTGGAAGATACACTGCAGTGGGTTTCATAGCGCCATAAATGGCTGGAATGGAATGGTTTTTGAGAGGTTCACCTCCAAAGAGTAGCTTTGCTCCTGGTATCTTGAGCAATTTGTTCATGTGATCTAGCATCATTTCATTTGTTAACTGGAACACCCAAGATTTAAGTTTTAGTATTGTGGGGTATCATGAATGATCACAGTATGTATGCATTGAAACAATGAGATTAGTAGCCATACCGTAAGAACAGGGCCAATCGTTAAATCAGTCAAGTTTCTTCTCTCTGCAAGATCCTTTATCTTCGAAATGAGTGAAGTTTTCGACCAGTTCTATGCAATGGCGACAAAATGATATCATCAGAAAAGATAAGGACAAGAGTTATCAATCCCAAAAAGATAACACTGACAATAAAAGATCAAACCTCATGCATGAACAGTATGGACTCTGCCGAGCACTTCTGGCCGCTGCAAGCATATGCATCTTGATCACAAACCCATGCAACATAGTCTTCCTGCAATTCAGTAACCATAAGAACTAAGAAACAAAGCTCACATCTACAACGATATGGCACGCAACAGAGCTAATAACCTCTCGAACATCTGGTCCCAAGACTTTCCAATCAAAACCTGCATCTTCCAGTTTAATACGACCCTTTAAGTCGACAGCCAACTTCTCTGCCACTCTTGAGCTACCAGTGAAAAGAGTCATGGATGGATTTCCCTCGATCAATAACTTGTTCATCGTCTTCCCATCGCAATTTATAAAATCTAAATCTTCAAGAGGAAGACCACAATGGTGTAGTAATCGAATCATTTGCTCCATAACTATGCTAACCTACAAAACATTAAGATATCAACTATGAGTATACGTTCCTCACTTGCTCCATCACTATGTTACTGTGTTCTTACCTTGCTATCAACTTTTAGAACAGGTTTGTTGCCCATGTAAAGTGCACCCATCACCTGAAGTAAAGGAATTTCCAAGGGGAAGTTGAAAGGAGTGATAATTGCTACCTGCAAATGATTACAAACTATTAAGCTGGATTCAAAACAGATTTTAGTTTAGGAGATATCTAAACTGAATATGTCTTACAGGACCATAAGGCCAACGGTAACCATGACTTTGTTGTCCAAGATGATCTCCAGGTACTGCAAAGGACCTTGCTAGGAAGCGAACCTGTAAGTAAACGAATCAATAACAACTAGTCAACAAACTCTTCACGAGAATGACTCGTTATGAAACAATAGCAACTAGTCAACAAACTCTTCACGAGAATGACTCATTACTAAACGTTCTATTTGACAAAACTCCATTTGAAAGTGGCATAGAGTCACTCAGTCCATAGAGTCTTAGAAGAGTAAGATTCAAACACCTGACCTCTGAATAGGCCTAAGCAAACATGGTCATCCCCTTGGGGGCTGACCTTAAAAGAGTTGTTGAAGCACCTAAGAAGCAGTATTACAAAAAAGAAAAACAAAGAAAACTCATTGGCCAATGATTAGACCTTACCTGATCACCAGAGAAGTTCCTTAAAAATTTAACAGTAACATTGACTTCAGCCCAAGCTTGCTGATAACTTTTTGGAGAAACTCTTTGAATTAACCTTGCAAAGAAGTCAGTCACCTGCAAATCATGTTTTGTTTAAACTACTGTAAACAAGAAAACAGTGACAAAGGAAGAGAGAAACAATCACCTTTGGTGTCGAAAGCATGTCGGCAGCCTTGGACGATACATCTCCATACAAAAGATATCTGCAAATTTGAAGGAACAATGAAAAACAAATCGAAAACAAACTAAAGCAAATGATCTATCAGAACCTCACCTCTCAGGTGATTTGAAAGGATTATGCAAGCCATGCTTGGGGCATTTGGTTAGGCTCTTCACAAATGGCTGCAATATCAATCCATCAAGTTAAAACTAAGCAGATCTTTTAAAAAATGAGTGCTGGTTAGTGGGCAGGACATGAAGGATGAGTTGTTTTAAGCATAAGAACCAACCAAGATGTGCATCAGGTTAGCTGACTGAACCAACCAAAATGTACCTGAATTTCTGTTTCATTAACTTCAGCAATTTTAATAAATGGTTCTCCATTTAAAGGATCTACAATAGTATTCCAACCGGAAGATCCAATCCATTTACCCTGCACTAAAATAAGCACATGTTGTGTCAACATTCCTGTTCTTCTGTAATGAAGAAGTTTAATACACACACTTCACTCACCTAAGTTATGAACTTCTCCTGGCTTAGAACCTGATATTTGCTCCACTTCCACCGAAGAGAAAGGGATAGAATGAACATTTCTGCTTTCAGAGAAGAAATGGTTACATTACAACATGAAAAGAAGATAGGATCCCAAAAAAGATGAAATGATCATAAGAACAGAGTAGGGGATTCAGGAAACACTTCCGGATAACACCCCTTTTTGACAGATTTGATTCGGATTTGGATCGAAACGATTCATCAGTTCAAGGATGAACATAAGAAAGGTGCAACCAAATCGATTGTAACTCACAGTAATTTCACTATCTAAATCAAATTCTGAAGCTAAAGTTTCCCAATCCAATACAAGTCCAAACAACCGCTTTATTATCTATCAACAAAAACATGCATATGGGAATCTAGAACAACCAGATCCCACCACCATCAGCAGTCGAGTTTTCGAGAAAACAGATGTGGGTTTTACAAATTGCACATTTCTGCATCGAAAACTAGAGATGAATCTTACCTGCAAAAGCTAAAGCCGGTGGCGGTGCGAAGAAATGGTGCCTGAACAATCCGCCGGAACAGTAACCGAGACAGAACCGGCGCCATAACCCTGGTGGGAGACAGGTCGATACGACGCAAAAACGAATCCAAAACGGAATTAGGGACGGACGAGACGAAGCCCACAACAAAGAAGGTTGTTTACGTTAAGTCACTGTGAGAGAGAGAGAGAGATGGAAGGCAACCCACTCGCTGATTCACTAATTTAAGAGCTTAGCTACAATTCCTTTTCAGCTCTTCAATGGGAATTAAACAACAAATTTCAGATTTCTTTTTATTTTTCTAATTTTGTTCTAAAAGGGATTTGATTAAGAACATTGATCCAATCCCTATTCTTCTCTTCCTACAAATTCGTGTCTGACTGTTTGAAATTATCTTTAATCCTACTTTTAGACATTCAAGCAAATCACACACTCATCCGATTTAACACGTGGATTTTTTTATTATTTATTTATAAATTTAACTAAATTACAAATTTACTTAAAAGAGCATAGCTTAATCATCTATTTTATATATATATATATATTTATTTATTTAATAATTATACGTGGTAAAATTATATATGGTAAGTAATATAAAGAAAATGATTATATATAGAGATTATACATGGTAAATTGATATATGCTGGATAATTATATATATATATAGTAGATCGTTATATCTGGTAAATTTATATATGTGCCATTGTAACATATTCAAAATGATCATTTTTAATTTAGTATTTAAGAAAAAAATAATAAACAAAAAATAACCCAAGAGATACGAAAAGAATTTGATTCCCCATCACCTCTCCTTTGAACATATTAAATAATAATATTAAATTGTTAAAGTTTTATTATTGGACTCCACGAATTTGGGCCAATAGTGAATGGGCTAGATGGACATTTTAATGGGCTGGGCCGTGATGAAATAGTTTCAAATAAAAATAAAAATAGAAATAATATTAGAGAGAGTGAAATGCCAATAAAAAATCATATAATTTATTTATCTACGTGTCAAAATAAAAGGATAAAAGGGACATGTTTTCTATTTATTTATTACCAAAAATGAATATTTAATTACTAAAAATGGTCAATAACAAAAATATTATATATTAAAAAAAAAACACATTATTTATTTTTCTTTTATTTCATTTTCTTTTCACGTTGCTTAAAAAATAAGATTATAAAATTTAACAACTTGGCTGCGTTTATGACTTTTTTTTCTTTTTCTTTTTTTCTTTTTAAAATAATTTTATTTTCTATCTATAAAGCTCTTTCTTAACCTCATCCCAAATTATAAAAATGTTTTATGGTAATAATTTTAAGAGGTTTAGTTGAAAATATGATTAATAATAATAATAATATAAAATTTAAAAAAAAAAGTCGACAAACTTGAACTATTCCTCGAGTTGATTGAAACAAACCCGTTTTAATGATTTGTATTTACTTTCTCGTTTACGAAATGTGCGTGACACACGCTTGTTTA